CATTGATTGCAAGCTGATAAAACAGAATGAATATAATCTGTAAATGACAGTAAATATATCAGTAAGACATTTTATCTTTAAGATATTTTTCCCCCTTTAAATACATTTCTGTGTCATTCTGAAAGGCTCTAGTTATTGATTCATACTTTGACTGGAAGAAATTGCTGTGGATAAGGTGAAGAATAGAACAAAACTGAAGAAGAAATATAAGAAAATTAGAGGAGGAAAGTAAGGGAGGCAATTTAGAGAATCAGGTTACTTAAAGGAATAATTTTAAGAGAAAAGCAAATAACATGTTTTTGCTGGATGCCAAATATGAATTTAATCCAGAAAAAACAGTTGTTAGAAACAAAGAAATATGTATTTTAGTTTGTTTTTTTTTCCTGTTAACCACCACAATATGCTTTGAATATGACTGCAGTCCTGCCTAATGTGAAGCATACAGTGATAAAATCTCTTGGAAGTGTTTCAAACCCTTGAGAAAACAATTGACAATGCTAGAGTTCAGCACCTTAAAGTAACAGAAATCCAAACAACCCGAACCTTGCGAAACCAGGTTATAGCTCCTATAAGCTTGTCCAGTGAAAGAGATTTCGTTTTGAGTCACACATCAAAGCTGTTTTGAGAGATGTTGTATGTAAACATAGGCTTGTGTTTCAGCTGGTGTAATGTGTTTCAGCTTGTGAATTGGTGGTGGTGATGGTGATGGTCTCTGCAGCACCTGGAGCCCACGGAAATGCCTTAACAGGCGCCATCCAGGGGAGGGCAGTGAGGCACAGAAACGCTGCTGTGCCCATTGCTGCGCGCTGTGCTGCAGTTTGTTGGCTGCTTGCTTGATAACTGGCAGGGAATTCAGTCCAAAATTGACAAGATTCATGTCTTGTGCAACGCTTGGACAGCAGGGTCCTGTCCGCTCCTCTCCTCTGCCAAGCAGCCTGGCACGGAGAGCAGAGTGCAGATGGAGCAGCACAGCTCACCTGGGTGCTCCAGACACTCATATCTGCAGTCTTACTGAACTCTATTTGTCTTTTTGCTGGTATTTTCCCAGACTAAAAGCTGGAATTTAAAGCACTGCAGCCTTTACTTCAGTCTCCTTGACAGCATAAAACAAAAGAGGATAAGTATCACTTTGCAAGTGACAATTGAATTTTATAAGAACAGGATATAAGTGGTCACGTAGTAACAGCTTTACTTTATCACAACATTGTCTTAAGAAAAATAGCACAATTTATGTACCAAAAACATTCTAAGCAGTTTGAAGCATTATACCTTTATAGATATTCTTTATATTGTGTGGATCTACTTTTTCACTGTTTCTTACCTCTGTATTTGGCCCTGCATGGGGCCAAAATAAAAAAAGATTAAAATTAAGGGCTTGTTCCAAAGAGAATAGCAAAGTTAGAGACAGAAAGAAGTTGGCACAGGATAACTTAGTGAATTGGCAATGGGACTGGGAGCTTTCAGTCTGTCTGAACCTTGCTGATGGGAACTGCACAAATGGCTAATAGGGATAAATGGTTTGTGCTCCTCATGAAGAAGTGGAAAAACTGCAGAGTGCTGGAATATGTGGCATTTTCTGAGGAAGAGCTGGAAGCAGGAAAAAAGGACAGGTTTGTGGAAATAAAGTAAAGAGAGAGATGCTTAAAATTAGATTATCAATGATGATACAAGGAACCATAGCTGCCTCTGCTGGGTTTTCTTTGTCTCATGTTCACTGAACAAAAGATTATTTAAAATTAAAATGTTGATTTAAATGCCAATTTTCTTTTGATCAATGCAATAATTCTCAGCACTGGGTGGGTTAATGGTTAAATATGAATAGTTTCCCTGGCCAATTAGAAGGTGAGAGTGTTTAGAGCTACTTGCCAAAATATTTTGTGATCAATAAAATCCTATGGAATAGTTTTGTTTAAATAGGCAATACAGACTGCTACACTTCCCAAGCTTCAAGGTAACTTCAGTTTGTATTTGCTGTAAGCTTTGGTTCGGGCCTATCTGTTGTGATCATGTTTTATTTATCCTTTTTCTGAATGTTTTACTTGTTGACAATTTGAATTTTAGGCTTCATGACATTCATATTGTAGCCATGATAGGTAAATAATTTAGAACCTGTAATTATCAATATTGTGACTTATTTTAGTGTTTTGGAGACATGCACTTTTGAAGGCTAAAGCAGGAAAAAAAAAGACATTGCTTTGCAACATATATTGATCACAAGTATGTGATAACATCTCTGACTCTGAGGACATTGCTGCTTGCAGTCAAAACCACAGTTTGCTTTTAGCCTTATCCAAACAGCCTATTAAGCTGGCAGGTGAATTGGTCGCTGCCCCTCTTTTTGCTCCTTAGCTTCTCAGTGCAGTGTATTAACCTCATGAACATGTTAAAACAATGTTGATTTCAATTTAAACCAGTAAAAGCAGCAGGGAAAATTTTCCAACTTGGTATCTTCTTACCTAAGCTGATGAGAGAAGTCCACAAAGTTTGGGGAGACTGGAAAAAAAAATTACCAGTCCTAAGGGAAAAAATAGTCCTAATTCCTGGTGCAGACACTGCTCTTAGAGCCTGAAGTCAGCTCTACTTCCCCTGTAGAAACTGTGCCAGTTTCTAAGGGAAATAAAAATCAAGCAGTAGAGCACAAATGTGCCCTGAAATTTAAGGACTATATGCATTGACCTTTAAGGAACAGGCACACGGTGGAAGAACCTACCTACCAACAGGCAATTATAAACCGCCTGGGATCTGGGGGGAATTCAGCTGTGGTTTCCTGCCTGCCCCTCTCCTCTCTTGGAAGCTGCCATATTTTGCAGCATGACCCTGACAGGGAACACTGTAGGGAGGTGCAGAGGGGCTGAGCTGAATTGCTGCTGTGGTGCCACAAATAAGAAATCTGCAGCTCAGTTGCTGCCACTGCCTGGTGCTTTGTCACTGCACGTAATAAAGAGAATTTTCTTGTCCTCTCAGTAAATTGCTCACTGAAGCTCTGACTCTTCCTGGATTTTGTTGATACTGATGTGTCTAATCCTTCTGAAGCTGGTTATACCCCAGTCTGGGAGAAAAAAGGTTTCCAGCATGCCGATTACAGCAGGTTGTGTGTGGAAGAGAAGGGCAACAGAGCAGCACTGCAACCTCTTGGGAGTGAACGGAGTGATGGAAGGGGTGAGGACTTGCTGAGAAGGAGGGCTGGGCAGGCTATCCTGTCAGGACATTTCTGCACATATCTGGGGCTGCTTAGTGATGCATCTTGCCAGCCAGTCCCTGTCCTTGTTCCAGTTCTTGGCACCCTGCTGGCAATGTCTGAGCCAGGGTCATGTCTGCTGAAGCACATGAGCCTTCCTGCACTCAGAGAGGTGAGCTCTGAGCACACATCACACCCAGGTGACTTGATTTAACCTTTATTTGTTCCACAATGCTTTGTTGCAGGGGGTACACCTGGCAACGCCTTTCTTTCATTTTATTCTGGGACAAGTGCAACCTTGCAATGTGTGCTTCATGTTGCCTTTCTTTTTCACAGTTTTAAAACAAGTTTGTCAGTCAAACAACTTCGAAATAATTTTGATATCTTCCTCTGTAAGGTTGTATCCTGTAATTATTTTTTAGAATTATTTTCCTTGTGCATTACAAATCTGAGATTACATGCACTGTTTACATTAATTTACAGACTGGATTTGAGTTTACATTCCCTTTAATGTCATTGATATTGCATTTCTTTAGCAGTCACACCCATACCGTATCCATTCGAATCTGTTACCTGTGCCGCTCTGGGCAAAAAAGAAGGGAAGAGATTTAACAAGGAGAGCTGTAATTTTCCTAACAGGGTAGAAACCAGCCAATTGGGAGCCCTTTCTCAGCAGACACTGACAAGACACCAGAGTAGTCTCTCCTCAGGTGAAGGCAGCAGTCACACCCCTCGCTGGCGCTACTGCGTGTCAGTGCAGGGGAAGATGGCGAGCTGGAGGCTGCCAGCCTCCTCTATTTATAGCAGCAAGAGCTTCGGGGTGTGAGGCAAGCTGTTTTTAACACAGTGGCATTTTCTTCCGTTTAATCGTGGAGTGGCATAATTTTTAGAAAGCCATTACTTCTTCATAGAAAAATTAGGCTTCTTTGCCTCGTTAAATAATAGGTGTTTGTGAATTAAAAAAAAAAAAATCACTTCCCCAAGACTTCAGATGTTTTAAAGGCCATTATTTTGTCTGGAAAATGTAGAAAGGAAAATCAATATATAGCATCAAAGACAAAGAGGAAAAATGCAATGAGACACATCAGTTTAGCTCCTGCTCTCTTTCCCTTTTTGGTCATTTTGCTGTGCTGCCAAGCAGAGCAGAAGAGATCCCATGCCCAGGGAAAAGCAAAGGAACTTGCTTAGACTGAAGCAGCACTTGCAAAACCTGAGTCTTGCAAGAAAAGTAGTAGATTGGTTTGTTATAGCAGGTTGGCTTACAGTTCACAAGGACTTATTCCTTTTCTACCTTCCCCCTCATACTTTCTCGTGTAATTCTTACAGAGACAACTGAGCACTCAGACAGAAGTAAAGCAGGGCTTTGTCTCTCCAAAATAGAATTTAATAATTCCCACTGAGTCACACAGTTGTACAGAGATGCCTGTTAAACAGTCTATACATGGTGTTCATCAATTATTAGGGAAGAAGGGCAGAAAACGTCCAGGGAAGGACTTCTCCTGTTTTGACAATGTCACCTTTTCTGGTAGATGCCATGAACTTCCAGAGTCACTTCATCTTTGTGTCACACAGAAAGGTGATCAAAAGACATTGGAAATGCATCAACCCAAACTTAACTTGAAAGGAGGCATTACTTCTGCAGATTTTAGTATAATGAATATCCAGAGCTTATTTTAATTCTTGCTGCACAATAGAATTCATACAAGTAAAATAAAAAAATTTAAACACCAAAACAGCTTTTGCACTATTTGAGCAATTAGATGTTTGTACATAATTTGTACATTTAGAATTGTTCATACTTTTTTTTCCTTCTTGCCCGCAGAAAGGAGAAAAAAAGCAACAGACATGGCATAAACAGGTGAAAGAACATGGTTTGACCTTAAGGGTAGAGCATGAGTGACATAAAAGGAGGAAGGAATGACTCACACGGGCATGAAGATGGATGAGTTTGCCACTGGTTTAATATTACCCGTGCAGCCCTAACGCAGGCATAGGACAGACCTCCGTGTATCAGATCAACTTCACAGACAACTGGAAAAACTGATGCTGACTTTCAGAAAGGTTCTGGATTCAGTGAGAGCATGACTAGGCCATGTGGGACTGGCAGAAGGAGCCAGAGGCCATGTGGGCTGCCAAAACGTTGGAAGCACCAAACTTCGTTTTCTGTTTTCAGGAGCTGCATCTGCTAAAGCCTTCCCTCATGACCTTGAACTTGGACTACATCTGAGCTTTGAGACCCAGGAACACTGCAGGATTTTTAGCTTATATGTTGGATATGCTCATGTCTTAGCTGCATATCTGGGTTAGTCCTTGGTGTGATATGTTCTCCTACCAGTTCCCATTTCCAAAAACTGGAGGACAGGTTTAGCCACATTGTGGCTTCACAGATCACTTTGGTGGAAGCCTAAATCAGCTTTTTTTGCTTTGGTTTTCAATAGAAAAAATAAAAATACAAAATAGAAATGATAGTTTCCAACTTTGGATAGGCCAGTGCCATTCCTTAATAATTAAGCAGTAAACACAACTACTTCATAATCCCAAAGTGCTAATCTTAATAATTTTATGTAAATACATAAATAGGTAAGGGGGTCATGAAATCCCACTATGTTGAAGCCAAGATATGGACAGTTACCTCAGCAAAACCCAGACATATATTAGAGTCTATCTTCCTCCAAAATGTCTTCCTCCCTCCAGCCTGCCCCAAGAAGAGATCCATGAAGCCAACGGCGCCTTTAAGTACTTAGATCCATGTGACTACAAGCAGCAGCTTTGTCATGAACTGAGCTGTGAAATATGGACTGTGAGATCAAAATTAGCGGCCAAATCAAAAGGACTTATCAATGTTTGTTTTCAATATTGACTGTTTGAACTGAGAAAAATATCTCTGAAGTCCCCCTAGCAGTCCTCCTCTGTAAAGACTTCCTCATTTTAGCTCCTTGCTTTTCTTTGCAGAAACAACTTCCATTCCTGGTACACTCTCTCATCCATTAATGAAAAAAGTAATGCATCTTTAGGTTGCTGCTGTGACTTGGCCTCAGGGCCCTTAATTATAATGTACCCAAGGCCTTAATTAATTTGTAGAACTGTACAGAAGATGATGTCCCAAAAACCTTTTGAGAGTCAAGTCAAAATCCTGTACTTATCAAAGCAGAAATATTGAATCAGGGCCAGGTGTAATGTATTTGCATCCTTTCCAGAAAATGAAATGTTTTTGAGGAGAACAAAGTGCTCTTAGGTGTGCTACAGGTTTATGTGGTGATGTTGTGCTCAAATTTCAAAATTACCACTTGCATAAGTCAATTGCAATAAGAAAAATGAAATTTCATACTTGGGGGATAACACAGACCTTTTCTCTCAGGGCCCTTTGCTAATGCTGTCTAAGTCTAAAAACACCTGCCATTGACTTCAGCTGCAACATGATGGCATAGCTCCCTATTGCAAATGAACTTCGGTAGCTATTTGGGGTTTTACCAATAGAGGGCTCTATTGGTTTGATTTAAGTCACGAAGAAGGGGGAGCCAGACTTTTTGGAGAGAGTGGTGAGGTTGCTATAGTAAATCCTATAACCTATATAAAAGTGGAGTCAGCTGAAGTGCATTGAAAGAAATGCCTAAAGGGACATCGTTTAGGTGTTACTCTATCTGTTTTGTTGTTGGTTTGTTTTGCTGTTTTGAGATTCTGATGCTGGTGGACTTGCTTATCTGCTTTTGGAAAGGCACAGTCCAGAGCGCTGTGAGGTATTTTAGGAATAAGGCTATATTAGCAGTGTGATAATTTTAAATGACCTGAAATGTTTAGAACCTACCAAAAATAAAATTTTATGACTGTAACTTCTTTACCAAATATTTTTTAGTCATATTTGCCCTTACAACATATATTTTAAGCATAACACAAAGATAGATGTGCATGTTAGTGAAAAAATGAAAATCTGTGTTAATAAATACAAAAGTGACTTAAGGGAAAATATTTTCTTTCCTAGCTAGGTAGGGTTTTTATAATATCTCAGTTAAGATTGAACGTATTACTGGCTCAGCTATAGGAGGCCATACAAATAAAGCAAAAAATAACCTGGAGTCTTTTGGGGTGTTTAACTACTATCAAGTAGTGCCTAACCTCTCTCACTAAACAAGGTCTTGATGCCCTGACTCACCTCTTCACTGCCACAATAGGCCTTCCCATTCCACTTTTTAGTTATTGTTCCCCATTTCCCAGTGACTGGAATGATGCTGGTCTCCCAGCACATCTTGCTTTCACAGGTTAGACAGATTGCAGTGGAAATGTTCCACAAAGCACAGCAGACGAAATTCACCGTTATTTTAATGTGGACAGCACTGGAATGAAGAAATGAAACAGTGCTAACAAACATGCTTGTGGATGCATGATGGCAAGCACACACATCTGCATATAAATATTATATATGCATATCTTTTTAATGGGAGACTGTGATTGTTAGGTGTGCTTGCCTAAACACGAACTCTACAGCTAACCAAGCAGAAAACCCCCTCTACACAAACGTGTGTTTACATACATACATACATAAGAAAAATATATATCCGGTGTATACATTTCAATGTGTATGAAAACAGTGCACTGAAGTTCATTTTATTGTCAAGCATAGTTTAAATTCCATTTTTATGCAATGGTGCAGTGACAAGCTTCCTATAAAATAAATATGGGCCGCAAATGAAAATAGTTTAGCTTGCTGGTCTTACATTTTTTTGTAGTAATGAATACAGACTTCAACTTGTGAAAATATAAAATGATCCTGCTTTCAGTATAAATGTCCCTCAAAAAATCAATTCCAATTTCATCTTTGTTTTAGTAAAAAAAATGAAAGAACAAAAAGATCAGGACTATAAATAATGACTACCTGTGGTTTTCATAAATAAATATCTCTAAAGCAGTGGAAAGCTGTAGAAATGCATGGATATTTTATTTTCTCCTCCTTCATGAATTTGTTGTGTTGCAGGAATGTGTATAAATAGATGTCTAGATGTGGTGCAGATTCATATTCAGCCATTTTCTCCCAATAAAAACATATGTTTCCCTCTTGATGTTGTTTTTTTCCTTTGGAATCCATTAACACATTAATAATGGAAAGTCTGCAGTAATGTATGGTCTACCTATGAGGTTTTTTAAAAAATCTCATAAATATGAATCTATAGGTACAAGAAAGCTGTATACGCTCATGCCTATGTCATAAATCATCCATCCTTTGTTAAAAAAAAAAATGGAGGTGGGGGAGGAGCAGGGAGTGATGATTTTCTCACTGGAACCATTTCATCTTATCTAGGGAGAGTTAAGAAATACTGCTGTGGATGCTTACCTAGATATTTTCACAATGTCATGTCCCATTCACTGTTCCTCAATACGAAGGATGTTTTCCTTCTCTATAATTTTCAGGAAGGGAAAATCTTGTTCTGCTTTCTAGTCTTGTAAGAGAGAAATGACTGCCTTTCCCCACCTCCAGGTTACATCTTTAACTCATAATCCCCCCATGCCAAGGAAATGAGTAGATAACATGTTATGTGCAATGTGAACTGATTTGAGATGCTTTCAGTTTAGTGTCTCCAGTCAGGAGAAATGGATACAGCTCAATTGTTTCAATAACTGCATATGTGTTTTTATTCTGGGGTCCATGCTATGTTTGCTTAGAGAAAGTAAAATGTACTAACCAAACTTGTAAATGCACCAATGAACAGAGTGGAAACTGCATTAGTACAGTAACTGCATCTCATGGAGGTAACATTATCTAAAAAGAAGTAAAAGAAAAACAGCTTAGAAACCAATAGCTTAACTATTGGTGCTAGAGTATCTGGCTTTTGAAAGTACCACACTGCAAATACTGGAGTGCTACAGCAATTTATTCCTCTCTTTCTTCAGGGCATATTGGTACAGCCAGCACTTTATTCCTGAGAAAATATTAATATTAAATGGATGGCTAGATTTAAAGGTACTGATGACTAATATACTGTTATTCTGTCCTCCCTCACTCCTCTATAATCAACAAAGCATGCACAACAGTGGAGTGTTTCACAGTAATTTTTGGTGATGTTTTGCCTTGCTTGATTAGAAAGTATTTCTGAGGGGGATAAATCAACTTGCCACCAAACTCTCCCTTCTATTTGCCTTGCTGATGTTCCAGAGAGTAGTTCACTGCAAGATGTGAAACAAGGAATGCAGTAAATTGGGATGCTTCAATGGGAAAAAATTTGCAGCTCACTGGCTTCATCTCCCATCTGTATTATTAGCACCGTATAGATTTAATAATTAGGTGATTGAAGACATTTTGATGATGAAGCGGTTTCTATGATCTGCAAAAGAAAGCATCTGTTTTCCTCATGTACCAATTAATTATTTATACAGCAGAAAATACAGTAGACTACCTTGAGGATGAGCAAGTTGGATGTTTGTGTAAAACCAGCAAGGCCTGGCCTGGAAATTATGTCATTCTGACCTTCAAAGTCTCTAAAATGATTATTTTTCAGGCACGCAGTAAACAAACAGTACTCTCTTCTGTCTTCACTTCCACCTTACTGTTTGCCCTCCTGTCCTCACAGAGTGCCTGTCAGCTTAAACATCACCTTTCCTTTTATTTTCCATTTCCTGTCTATGTGTTTTATTAGCACCTTTTTCTATTTTACAATCCACACTGATTCGACATCAGCTTCATCCCTCATAAGCTCTACTGTTGAGACTAGGCAGAGTTATGCATTGTGGGAAATATGCAAAAGCACCCGAACCTCTTTTTTTCATGATTGTCAGGTGTGGATTCATTTTGGGAAATATATATTTCCAGAGGCTAGGACTTACCAAAGTTTGCAAATCAAAGAAAAGCAGATCCTTGGATCTCACAAAATGTGTTGCTTTGTATTATGACAATGGTGTTCACATGCCTGACATCCTCATAATAATATTAAGCCCTTTTTTTTTCTAGCATTATGTACTTTATACATTTATATAAATGTCACAGCTTGTAATCACTTCCTTTGTCATCGACGATTAATCTAAAAAAATCGAATAATTCACTGCCCCTTGCCATTTACATATCGCCTGCTACCATCTGTTCTTCTCAGCAGCAGTAAATGATGGGTAATTAACTCAGTGCCTTTGTCTTTCCCTTGCTGAATGTCTGACACATATAGATTTTCCTCTGTGTGTGTGTGTGTCTGCACGCGTGTCTGCGTGCGCGTGCGTGTGTGTGTGTGTAGGAAAAGGAGAAGGGGATAGGAACAACAGAGAGAAAAAAAAAAAAGCAAAAGATGCTGTAAGCCTGACCTGAGGAGAAAAAAAAAAAAGTAAATACAAAAACATCAAAAACATTTGCAAAGGAGAAACAGGACAGAAATGTTGGGGCTGTGAAGGGACTCTGTCACGTGGCCTTTTACTCGCTTAATGTCAAAAGAAAGTGGGACCCGGCTGCAGACAATAGCAGCCCTGCGCATGCAAGTACCCTTTTCTAAAGCTCTAAGGTCAAGGTCAAGATGCAGCAGCGAGACAAAGCTTCATATGTTCCTCTTGTCAGCCTGGGTGCAAAGGGGGAAGATGAAAATGAGGCCAAATGGAGGGAATACACAATGCCATTTGGCTCCTGGACTGGAAGCCAGAAGGTTCACAATGTGTCATATTGAAACTATGATATAGTGGCTCTGCATATTGCATCCTTAGACAAGTGAGCATGAGGCAATATGCAGTGTAAAATTAAAAAAAAGAGAAAAGCAATATTCAAAGAGCTTTTCGCCCTTCCTGCTAAACCCTGCAGGCCACCCTGCCCCCAGCTGTGGAAGGGCCAGAAAAGAAAGCATTCCCT